ACACACACACACACACACACACACTCTCTCTCTCTCTCTCTCTCTCTCTCTCTCTCTCTCTCTCTCTTTCTCTCTCCGCTATAAATTAGGAGGATAAAATTGTTGAATCGGTTTAAAACTGTATTAATCTTATTGATAGCAAATGCTATAACGATATTGTCAATGATATCTATAATAAAATAGTACATGAAAGTCTAAATTACCCAGCATTCTATTTTCAAGTCCTATCACATGCAATTACCGGTGAATAGATAGTGGGGAATCCATTTAAGTCTTAAAGGTTTGTTTGTAAAATCTGTCCGTCAAACGTGAAATAAGTTTATTCTAAAACTAATTTGATTCGGTTCTATAAATTCGTTCTTTAGAATTTTGCAGTTGGTTGAAATAAAATTCCATCTACTTTTTAATTAATTGCAAGCTCAGTGGGGATATTTGTAAATAATGATATCACGTTCAAAAAATTAAGCTATAACCGTCTATATGAATATTTGGCAGTCTTCTGATCTAGTCAAAACTGTTATTTACGTGACTAAAACCTGTCGGAAATCGGAATACTTGATTACATTGTGTAAGAATGAGAGACAAGGTTATAAAACGGACTGTTAATGAAGTATAGAAAATTAGTTATTAAGAGAAGTACATGAGGATACGAAAATGAGAAAAAGATTAGGGTTTTATTTTTGTGTAAAAACTATGCAATAATTGGATAAATATGATATTAATGTAAATTAGTGCAATAGTGTCTAATTTGAAAGGCTGTGACATTTATGACACAAAAAAATAAGAAAAGAATAAAGTTTTAGGTTTAAATAACAATATTTAGCTATCTCTCAGATTTTTAATTACCCATTAATCGTAAAGGTACATCGATGGATGTGTAAGATTAAGAGAGAAGAAATTATAAACCAAATCTTTTTCTGCTATATAAGCTTAAATAACAAATTTCTATATATTCTCATTAGTGACTGATCACGTAAAGTGGAATGAACGAGTGCGCTTGATACACTCAGGACACCGCGTACGTGGAGACGGGCGCAATCGGATTTAATAAAAATTCCAGCTCGCGAGCGAAATGTGGATGTTTGTCATCCAGGGACAGGCGTGCTGCCGCTGCTGCTGGCACTCACGATCAGCAGCCTCGCCTCTCGTTCTGTGGCCCGAGGCGATGGAATAACTTCAATAACAAACGCCAATCGCCTTCGTAGAAGGCGGCAGCGAGCCTGGTATCTCTACCTACGTGTCCGTTCGTGTACACCACGTTCACACGACGGAGGAAGACTTTCCAATCATTTTCTGTTACTACTGGAGTAGTGTAAGCTCCTCCGTTCCCCTCTTTCTCGCCCACCTCGGTCCCATAGGTACGAGCGTGTAACTCTTTAATTATGCGAATAAATCTTTCTATTGTCGAGAAACAATTATGTACCAACGTGAGATAAAATAAATAAAAATATTAAATAAATAAAATATAAAATAAATACGAATAAGAAAAAAAAACAATAAAGATTTTGGGAATAGCTTTCAAGATGTATGTATTTAAATATTTTGGCTTTACCTTTCAACAACAATAAAGTGATATTAAATGGCTATGTGAATAACTCAACTGATAACAAGAAAAATTTTATTTAGACCAATACTTTATAGCATTTTCCACTGGGAGAACTAGTGCAACACTAGTGTGTACTGAGTGTAACTTTATTGTTATTCCAATGTGAAAACCAATATGTTTACATGTTTAATGTTTCATTGATAAAATTGATGCAGAAAACTTGTACTGAATTCAACTTTTTTTCCACCGTCTTTAAAAGCAGTGGAGACCAGTGTAAGTTGAAACTGAGATTGTGTTCGTGTTAAGGTATGATATTATGTTATGATATGATATTACAGTATTATAATTAATGTCATAACAATGACATTGTGTTAGTTTCAATATTTCTAATAATAGCTACGCGATGACATTTTGACGTTTAAAACTTTTGAAATATAAAAGTTTAATTAAAAAAAAATATTTTAAATAAATATGAATATTGTAAAATAAGTAATTTAAGTTTGAATATAGTTATATATATATATTTTTAGGAATGGTATAAAATGGATATCAATAAAATGGAATCTTGTGAAATATTCCATTGAACCGCACTATTATTGCATTAGTGCTGTTTTCGAAATCTAACATAGCGCTGGTATTGCACCAGTTTTCTCAGTGGAAAATGTTGTGAGCTAATCTTAGCGTTTATCATTAATAATATTTTAATATGAATTTATATGCATGTCTGATTTTGTAAATTGTTACGCCGATTACAATCTTGAAATACAACCTTAAACTGAAACTTGAGATAATAATATCATAAATTAAATTGACAAGTAATGATATTATTTAATGATATTATCTATCTCTCTAATAAGCATCTTAAAACACTTTAAATAATTTATTGTAAAAAGCAATAATTTTTCAATTTTATATTTTATTTCTACTACGTTTGAGGAAGAAGGAACGCGTATCGAATGAAAAAATCAATTTACATATAATAAATCGTACAAATCACTCGGGAAGGGTTAAAATTGCTCGTGATTTCGATGAAATGAATTGGAATTGAATTTCGCAGAAAAATCAATCTTTTACATATCATATGATGCAATAACTCACAGATTGGAATATTGTATCATATTATAATACTATGTCTGAAATATTTTGATAAAAAATAGTTAACGCGATTAATTGTATAATGTACGATCATTTGATTTTTAATTGTTTAGACTCAATCTTTAGACGCGCAGTAGAAATAGCATTTCTTTCGACTAGCGATTTTCAGGAAATTCTGTTAAAAAAAAAATTTAATTTAATTAAAACGAAATCGCATCGATTCAATTATGCAAGATGATTAGAGTGCATGAATGCTGAAACTCCGCCATTTCCGATTGATTGCATGTGGTGATGACCTCTTTCGTGCGTTAATATTCGCGTTATCGAAGAATCGCTGTCAATTGGCATCGCGTCGTTATTGCGCTATCGCTACCATTTACGGTGTCGTCTACCGTATTATTATTTTCGGTTATTGCAGGAATTACCAAGCACACGAGAGACACGCTCGCACAATCGAGCCTCAGCGCTACGCTTGCCATCGAACAGCTCGCACTTACGACGCGCGGTCAGCGTTAAAACTTGGCTGCGAGTGCTGCGACACAGCCTATGATAACATCGAATAGCATCTTAATAATAGACAAGGGGCAATCGGAATGGGACGACTACATTTAATGCTAAATACACTATTAAAGTTGTTGATTAACAGCGAAATCGTTATTCACATTTAATGAATGAATTATAATTCTATTAAAGAAAATGAAAACAAAAAATAAAAATATATTTGGAAGAAATTTTTTTGAATGGATTTTAATTACAATATTTAACAAAGTCTGTCAATTTTATTTTTTACATAAAATATGAAGTTTAATACACTCAGAGGAAAACATAGTGGTAGTAATTATAAAAGTGATGACTATATAAATTTATATGTAGAATTACATAGTTAAAATAACTATAAAATAGTTTATTCAACTATATATATTAATATTAATTCTGCATATAAAATACTTGTACAGTTGTCACTATTTGCTACCCTTTACTTTTCTTCTCATATATTTTCTCTTTAACATCTATCTACACTTTTTGTACTTTACAAATTATTTATTGTTACAATTTTTATGTATTTCTACATTTAACGCCGACTTTAGAATGCTTTCGATTATCATTTCTTGTTAACATCTTATTTGCGAATACAGACGAATTTTTGTATCAACAATGTTCATTCAAACGATACTCAGAATCGAACAATCGCATTTCGTGCTAATTAAGGCGCAAATAGAAGTATGAACATTGATTTATGACATTCTGTGTATCGAAATGTTGTCATGATCGATAGGATACTTTTTTTTTTGTCCTAAACTCCTCTTAGAAAATACCGATTCCGGTCTCCTTGGAGTTTCGGCGGTGCATTTAGGTGTTAATTGAATTACCGTTCGACGGATAGTCTTTCGATACTAGGAAAGATGTACTTAAGCGCGTGACACGATCAATCAGATACAGCGCAGATGTATTTGCGTCTCTCCCGGCTTTCTCGAGAACTGAGAGTGCGGCAATGAAAAAATATGCATCGACCATCACCGTGAATATAGATCGCCATTGAGGATAATGTCATCGACGTCGCCGATGCGATCGCGTTCTCGTAAAAGTATTAGACCAAGTGCACTCGGCCGATATGCGTCTTTCGATAGATCGCGGATTGATAAATAATCGCGACTTGAATCGATCCCGCTCCGACGACTCTGAAACTCTTGCGGTCCCGCGACGATTCCACGAAAGCCGCGTTGCAAATAGATCGATCATATGCACCGACGCGCTTTGTTCCGCGATACCAATCCACCCCCATCATCAAAAATAGCTCGCTTCTCTTTAAACGGAGAGTTTCGGCGAAATTCGAAGAGAGAGAGAGAGAGAGAGAGAGAGAGAGAGAGAGAGAGAGAGAGAGAGAGAGAATGAAGACGGAAACTCTTAACTAAACAAAAATTACGACAACGTAATAGTTCTCCCTTCGGGTTCCGCCAAACTTTTTTCATCCTCTCGCGTGTTCTGTCAACAAGCGAACTCTTCGAGAAACAATTCTTCTGTCGAGGAGGAGGAGAGGGAAGAAAGACGAATTCCCTGTAGTTTCTCGGCCGATAATAAGAACTCGTCGAGAGGAATGATGGTTCGATCGTGGTCAAATTTCGAATGGCTCTTTAATTGGAGGCGAGCTATTTATTTTCCATGATTATAGAGAGGAGGCCGGTCCGATCCGGCGCGATCGCGATCGCGGCGGATCCGGGCGGATCTTTCTCGCGCGCTCTCGTTGGCAGGAGGCAGGGGGATAAGGAGAGAAAAAGAAGAAATAAGAGGAGTGGAGAGGGCAGGGGGGGGGGGAGGGGGATCTATCTAACGGCGATAGACAAAGTCGATCGATATTTACCTGGCACTACTCCGACGGCGTGTTCCAGCGGCGCGGCGGGACAACGGTGCGCGCCAGTTACCTACGCGCGTGAGAAACTATTTTAAGAGCGCGCAACCGGTTCGCGCGTTGCGACGACCGCTGCGAGACATGTTTCCTCGGTAAGAGGAGAAATCCTTCCTCGCATCCTCTAGGAAGGAGCGTTTTCTCTCACGGATTTCTTCAGCGAATCGTCCAATCGCCCGCGACGCACGAGAATCCGGCCGCTGCGCTGGCTGGCTTCGTGTTCGCGAGGATATGTCGAAGAGATATCGTTGAGGCACAGAATAAGATGCTGTATATGTAACACGCAAAAGACGATGATGAGATGTAGTTCTCTTGGACGATGACGAGTAGGAGATCTTGACGATTTTCGCGATCGTAAAATAAATCGATCCACGCGTTCGCCAACTTTAATGAATATTCCTCTCGTGGGAATCGCGCACTTAGATCACAGTGTGTTTACGACGCAGCGCGCTCGCGCCTCTCGCGCAAGCACGTAAGCACCATACACGACCGTAAGAACCGTCGTCAAAACAAACTCGCGGAGTGACGAGCGTCCGTCTTCCGCGAGGATCCTTTTCCTGCTCGACGGCGGCGCGTACGGCGTGTCTCATCCAGCGCGAAGGATGCACCCGTCAAACCGTCGCGGTTTTACGACGTTACCGCGTTGCGACGCATCGCGATGTACTTGCGTCGTGCGAATCGCAATCGCGATCACTCGCTCGATCGGGGATCGGCGTCGGAGGAGAGCGGTGGATCGTCGCTTTTTCAAAATTTGGCGGCGATCTTTCGCGAAACGAAACGGTGCGACAGAGAAGGAGAGAGGAAAACAGATAATAGAAAGAGATTTGTCGGCGGGTGTGACGAATCGAAGAGCAGTTCTCATTGGACTGAATTAAGAAAGAGCGTAGACCGCGAGGACCTCAGAGAAACGGAAGAAGGAGGAGGAGGTGGAGGAAGAGGAGGAGGAGGAGGAAAAGGAGGTGGTGGCGACGGCGGCTGGTGGTAGTGGTTTGTACCGTCGCGGATCTCTCCGTTGGAGGTGGAGAAGAGAAGAAGGAGAAAGAGCGAGAAGAGGAGAGTGCGAGCGAGAAAAATGATGAAGGAAGAGAGAACGAGAGGCTCTCTCGTTAAAAGAGAGAGAAAGAGAGAAAGAGAGGGGGAGGGGAAGAGAGAAAGAATGAGTCCGCTGACGGCCGGATAGTTCGGACTACCGACTGCATAAGACTGGTTTTCAATTTTTTCCCGACTTTTTGTTTTACCTGTGCTGTGCCTCGCACACAGCCTCACCGTGTCTCTCTATCTCTCTCCTTCCCCTCCCCCTCCTGTTGTTCGACTCTCTTCTCCTCCTCCACCCCTTTTCCCTCCCGCAGAGCGTGCTGGACGAGTAACGGGTGAACCGAGAGCTCCGGGCCGCCGCCGCCGCCGCC